CTGTGAATGGACAAGTATTAAGTAGTCCTAACAAAGATTTAGTCATAAGTAATGATAATAGCAACCCTGTTAATTCTTGGTATTATGAAGCATCAATTAATATTACTTACATTAAAGTTGTTGATACCAATACGATTACTATTAATCTCAAGTACTATTCTACATAATTTTATATTTTATATTTATTTTTCTTTTTTTGACGTTTCGAAAATGAGATGTACTTTATATTCAATATTAACCGATTTAAAATAACTTTTAATGCAAAAATTATTGGATTTACTATTCTGATCGTATCATATACTGTCCACTTGCAGTAAGATACATTTATGATACTTATTCTATTATACCATTAAAAATATTATGTTCTATACTTAAACAGATGAAATTGCTAAATTTTTTCTAATTATATTATCATTTAAGCAAAAAATTAAGTTATTCAGGTTCATCAATCTTTATTATTATGTAATAACTCTCATTTCAATTTAATTAAACTAATAAATATTAATATCTCTGATTAGCATACTTAAGCAATCCAAAATTTTTCAATTTTATTCTTATAAACTGAATAAATTAGATTTAATTTCTAAATCAAATTTTACACTACACAAACAGTTTAATTTTTTAATAGTTATTAAAAATGTTGTAAGTCAAAATGGAATTAAGTTATTTGGAATTATTAAGATTAGTGAACTAGATTTTAGGTATAGCTATTCGTTTTTTATCTTAGATTCCAGACCAATTTTGATTTCGTTCCATTTACAACATGATTCAGTGCCATGAACTTATTAATTTTCGAAATTGATTCTACATACAATAACAGGGGTGATCGTCCCGAGTATGCCCCAAGTTTATAGATCGTTACACAAACGATCCAATTGATTCGGAATTTTTTTTATACGTGTTACAATACTTTTTTCAGAAGCTCGGATAGATTATCTCATCTTTTAACCAGGTCTAGTGTACTAAGCAAACTTGAAATTTTCGTACAGTACTTTAATAATATCGGTTGAATCCCTTTGAATCCCACGACCTTCAACTTCAGCAAAGTTCTATATAAAAAGGCGTTTTATATAAACTAGGTTAGCAAAATTTCGTTATTTTGTGTATAAAAAAAATAAACTAAAATAAACTGAAATAACGAAAGTAACATTTAGCAAAGGTAATGTGAGTGCAAAGCATTCTTTCTATAGCTTTATTGCATAAAACTCTTTTAAATGATATAATAAGTACAGTATATTATTACGATTAACTAACTTTATATATTTTTATTTTATTTTATGTAGTCGTTTAAATTGTTTAAGTTA